AAATCGCATCATATGACCCCTTTAAAACTTCAGCTTCTGCCCTAAACTATAGGGAGCCCTTTTACATTACTATAAGTTTACAATTTACAACAGAGCCCAAACTTAAATTTAATCACTATTTATTTTTAAATATAATAATCAACACTCAAATAAAAAAAAAATTTATGCAAACATGTTTTAAAATTAACTTCTAAATTATACAATTTCTATTTGTTGTTTAAATATAATAATCAACACTCAAATAAAAAAAAAAATTATGCAAACATGTTTTAAAATTAACTTCTAAATTATACAATTTCTATTTGTTGTTGAAATATAATAATTTACAGAGTGGCTGTCATAACTTATTTTATAAAAGATTTATTTAAATAAAAAAATTAAAGGGGTCCTATTATGCTTTTTCACTTTTTCAACTTTAGTTGGTCTGTAATGTTTGAGCATAAAAAAGATCTGCAAAGTTACAAAGCTCAAAGTCCACTTCAAAAGGAGATATTTTATTTAACAGAAATCACTTTTCAACAGTGGTGGACAGTAACGGAGTAGTTTTACTTCGTTACTGTACTTAAGTACATTTTTCAAGTATCTGTACTTTACTGGAGTAGTTTTATTTTGAGTAACTTTTACTTTTACTTCACTACATTCCAAAGCATAAGATCGTACTTTTTACTTCACTACATTTCATAAAACATATCATTAGTCCTTATAATATATCACGTGCTCCGACACGCAGAAGCATTGTCTGATTCAAGAACGAACTGATTCTTTTCAATGAACCTTTTAAATCGGTCTGCAAATTGCACCAAACGATTCATTCACGAATTAGAATGATCCGATTGCAGCTGTTCTCGATTTGACAACTCACTGATTCAAATGAACCATTTAGTGCGAGTCTCCAGTGAACTGAATTCACAAGTAAGAACTGGGAGATCTTGTGAGCGCGTGCGCGCGCAACTGATGCTGCCAAAAGTAAGTTACTAATGTCGAATTTTAGGATTAATTATTGTAACTGAAAATCATATTTAGGTCAAAACTGTCAGTTGTTTGTTAACTAAATGTGCTGTAAAGGGTGATCTATTTAAGCCCACTGAAATGCTTGAATACAGACACATCAACATCAGTGTCTCTATGTTTTAGGTAAAAAAAACCTAAACATTAAAATAACACAGATTAAATAAAATAACTCATGCACGTTCATATTCGCCGCTGCCATAACTGCTCAGTCGATCTCTCTCTCATTCACTGTCTGTTTAGGCTTGTTAAGTGCAAATCAGCATGGTACACATTATGTTATCATTACTAACTTGTTTAATATTCAGTCCACATGCATGAAGTGTAAAACAAGAAGGGCATAACCTTATGAAAAAATAAAACATGGAAAAATCGCGGTTGCTGCGGTCCTTGCATTCACCTGCGGTTTGCTCGTCAATAGCGCGGTATTGCGATATTGCAGTTATCGCGACAGCCCTAAATCTGTTTTCTCTCAGGTACTTCGCAGTGTAAGCTTCACAGTGAACATTACTGCATCACTCTCGTCAACGTAGTCAATATCAACAACAAAAATATATCTTGACTGCATATAGTGGTTATTTTGGGAAAATCCCAGGTATTTTGAGCAGTAGGATTATAAAAAATATGTGCTAATATAAAATTAAATTAAGTAGCCTATATAAAAATTGCAAAATAAATCTATCTATCAGTTCGTTTTTACTTAAAGCTGCAGTCCGTAAGTTTTGCCTCTTTGTCACCATCTCTGTTTGAAAACCTGGAATTGCAGCTGTGTGCGGAATTATCTAGCTTGCGTGGGTTGTGAGTCGGCACGGCTCCAGCACGGATGAATCTAATGTTCTGAAGAGTATGTGTGGCAGTCAGTCACCGCACCGGTGTGGATATTTACTGTACTTCGCAATCACAGATTCTAGCCTACGTCTTGGAATATGACCCAAATAAGAATTTTCACGCTATATTGCCATCTGAACAAGTAAGTAACAAGTCTGCAACGTTTGTTCTGACCAACTGAGGAAAAAATAATTACCATAAATCTCGCTACCAATGGTGATTAAATCTAAAGATCGGTTAGCTCATATCACATCAAACCGTTCAAATTATTATTATTGTTATACTTTATTCTCAAATGATTAATGTTAACAACATCAGCATTGGTGACTATGAGTATGAGAAAAGGCTATAAACGATCGGCCACCTGCAGGATCCTCACATGCGATAGCCTAGTAGCCGGGACAACTTCTTTTTGTTTGCAGACGTGATGTAATGACGCAGTGCCATGCTCGAATTTCCCGCGAAAACCTACCCGTACCACTCAAGTTAGAAAACATTATTATAAGCTAACCGTTGTGAATCGGGCTAAAGTAAGGCAATAGTTTTGAACACTGGCTGGTTATGTACTTGCTCAAATATTGATTTCGGATAATTTTTAACCAAAAAAAGTTAAGAACTTCAGCTTTAAGTTCATAAAAAATCGAGTACTTTTGTACTTTTACTGGAGTAATATTTTATTATATGTATCTGTAGTTTTACTCAAGTACTTGATTTGTGTACTTCGTCCACCACTGCTTTTCAAAAACTACAACAAACGACTCATTTGGACTACAATGCATATTTTCCCAGATTTGTGATATCACAAATACCAATGAATGGGACGAGACCTGGTTGAGCTGCACTAGAGAAGACAACGAGTGTTATCACAATGTTGGAGCCACGCTAGCTTTCCCAAGGCAGATGAACTTAGAGTGGTTACAATCATCCGGGTTTAAATCACGCTCAAATTGATTTGATATTGATGCAATATTTACACTGAAGCTCGCAGGCGGCTATGGTAAGGGGCATGACATTTCCCGACCAGGCGCCGAGTGCTGCCAATCACAACACACACTGACCCAGCTAACCAATCACAGCACATTTCGTATTTCAGAAGAATTTCATGAAAAATAATGTGTTTTTCGAACAACCTAATATGAGAGCCTGTTCTAGTACACACCCAAAACAAAATAAAGACTTTGTAAAAGAGCATAATAGGACCCCTTTAAGACATCCCTAACAGGTAAAGTAAAATATAATGAAGTAGTCTAATATTTCGCAAAATGCTCTTCACTAGACTTAATTTCTCTAGCAAATAATGAGCTGTAGACAGTGATGACTTGACCTGAGGTAAATGAAATGCTATGTGACATTTTGTTTACAAGCTGTTTTAATGACGTCTTTCCGTGGTTGAAATGCTAATTAAGCGATTATGGTAAGATGTTAATTCATGTTTATTTTTTACATTAAAACTAGTAATAAAGAGGAAGGGATGATCGTGCTCACTCGTGCTTCACGCTTCCATCAGAACTGAGGTGTTAGTATACAGCGATCTGTAGCGCCATGTCAAAGAGAGCCTAACAGAATTTATTGTCTGAATTTCCTGAAAAAAATTTAACGATTTGTTCGGTACACATGTATACCGAACCGAAAGACCCATACCGAAAATTGACGGTACAAATACGTGTACCATTACACCCCTAATAAATATATATATATATATATATATATATATATAGAGAGAGAGAGAATACAATAACTTAGGACATTTAAGAAGACT